AACACCCTAACCCCAGCTCCAACAGCATGACCCCGTTAACACCCTAACCCCAGCTCCAACAGCATGACCCCGTAACACCCTAACCCGACCCTGGCTGCTCCGGGAGCCGGGCCTGTGCAGCACCCCTGCCTTCTCATTCTCCTTGGCTTCCATTGTTCAGTTCTTTTCTTTTCCTTTTTTTCCCTGTTTTCCTCTTTTTGTCTTTTTCTTCTTTACCTTGTCTTCTACTGTTCTTGTTATCAAAGTATTTACACAAAAGTGCCGTTTTCTGATGACCCAGATTGCTTTAAAAACGCCCCCCGGCCGGGCGCGGTGGCTCACGCCTGTAATCCCAGCACTTTGGGAGGCCGAGGCGGGTGGATCACGAGGTCAAGAGATCGAGACCATCCTGGTCAACATGGTGAAACCCCGTCTCTACTAAAAATACAAAACATTAGCTGGGCATGGTGGCGCGTGCCTGTAATCCCAGCTATTCAGGAGGCTGAGGCAGGAGAATTGCCTGAACCCAGGAGGCGGAGGTTGCAGTGAGCCGAGATCGCGCCATTGCACTCCAGCCTGGGCAACAAGAGCGAAACTCTGTCTCAAAACAAAACAAAAAAAACGCCCCCCACCGCAGCCGGCCCCCAGGAAAGTCGTCTGGCGCTGGTGCTTTAGGTCCGCCGGCAGGCTGCTCTGCCGAGCCATGCCCCGACCTGCCCGTCCGCGTGGTTCCAAACGCCCACTCCCGGGGTGGGAGGGCTCAGGCGGCCTGCGGTGCCCTCTGGTTGGCGGTGTCCCCCTCATCCCTGCTTCCTGCAGCTGCAGGTGCCCCTGGCCTGCCCCTCGCCCTGTTTTACCGTCTTCATACTAACCCTTTAACATCACGGCTGAGGCCAGCCGCGGGGTCTCACGTCTGTGATCCCAGCACTCTGGGAGGCCAAGGTGGGTGGATTGCTTGAGCCCGGGAGTTCAAGACCAGCCTGGGCAACATAGTGAGACCCTGTCTCTGCCGAAGAATACAAAAATTAGCCGGGCACGGTGACGTGTGCCTGTAGTGCCAGCTACTCGGGAGGCTGAGGTGGGAGGGTCGCTTGAGTCTGGGAGTTCAAGGCTGTGGTGAGCCGTGATTGTGCCGCTGCACTCCAGCCTCGGCAAAGGAGTGAGACCGGGTCTCGAAAAACTAACAAAATGAAAGAAAAAACAGCTGCAGAGATTTCTCTCTCCTGAACCATAAGTTGTAGAGTTTTCCCCTAAGTCCTGAGATCGAAGCCGTCAAGGTGTTTTAGGGGTGCCGGCCCTCCGTTTGTCTCTGCTTCTGTTGACGATGGTCGATGGACGTGGGGATGGTCTGAAGTGGACGAATAGGGATGCCCCCTGTGCCATGGTGTCGGAAGTACGGAGATAAGTGCTGGGAAAGTGCCAGGAGCTGTGGCGAGCTTGCTGGACAGTGGCTCTTTTTCTGTAGGGTTCTAGTAAAACAGTAATTTTCTCTGCTGGGCGCAGTGGCTCACGCCTGTAATCCCAGCACTTTGGGAGGCTGAGGCAGGCAGATCGTGAGTTCAGGTGTTCAAGACCAGCCTGGCCAATATGGTGAAATCCTGTCTTTAGTGAAAATATGAAAACTAGCCAGGCATGGTGGCGGATGACTGTAGTCCCAGCTACTCGGAGGCAGAGACGGGAGAATCGCTTGAACCTGGGAGGCGGAGGTTGCAGTGAGCCGAGATCACGCCACTGCACTCCAGCCTGGGCGACAGTGTTCTCACAGCTTTACTTTGAAATAATTTCAAATTGCAGTTGCAGGGTCAGTACAGAGAAGTCCTTTCTCAGAGGGACTGATGATTTTGTCACACCCACTCGACTCTGTCCCTCCACACTCACGCTCATACCCACGTGTGCAGCTGGCCCTCCCCACCCATGCGGTCCGCATCTGTGGATTGAAAAGACTTGAGGACAGACGTCGCCTCTGTGCCGCACGTCAATTCTCTTGTCGGCATTCCCTGAGCCGTGCCGCGGGACAGCGAGTGCCTGGGCTGATGTCGTGTTTGTAGGAACCGAGCGTGATTTACGGTTGGTGGGGTGTGCGTGGTTCGCCAGGGAAGTGAGCACGGGGGTCCTCGCAGGCCTCTCCTGCGGCTGCTGAGGCGGCCGTGTGCGCGTTTGTGTACTTGCACGTAAAGAGTCATGGCGGTTCTGTCCTGAGCGACTTTAAAGGACGGGCGGGCACCTGCCCCCGACCCCAGCCCCAGCGTTTCGCTGGGCATCTCCTGAGAACGCAATGTGCACGCCCACGGCTCGGTGTCCCAGGGTGGGCTCTCTGGTCAGGCACGTGTCTCCTGCTGACTTTCTCGTGAGAGGTTCATAGAAACTGCATTCCGTTCATGTCTCGCAGCCCCCTCCGCGCTGCCTCCGTTTCCGCCGTCCTGCGCTGCCTGGAGCCTGCCCTCCCTGTCCTCTTTCTCACCCCGGCCCTTCCTTCCATGTCTCTGGGGACCCTGATGTCTCTCACTGGCCCTGGCGGGGGCAGGATGGGCGTGCAGCCCGGGAGGTGCCAGAACGATCCGCATACTCTGGGGAGCCCGTGGCCCTGTTAGCTGAACCCCGCTCTCCCTCTCCCGTCCTTCCACACCCCCTGCCCTCCACCGCCCCCCAGCCTGCGCCAGCCTTCCAGGGACATGGGTGGTGGCCCCCCAGAGCCCAGCTGAGGTGACGCCCTCTCTGTCTCTGCAGCCTATGGTGTCGGCCTCCTCGTGACGTTCGTGGCGCTGGCCCTGATGCAGCGTGGCCAGCCCGCCCTCCTTTACCTGGTGCCCTGCACGCTGGTGACGAGCTGTGCCGTGGCGCTCTGGCGCCGGGAGCTGGGCGTGTTCTGGACGGGCAGCGGCTTTGCGGTGAATACCAGTTTGCTCTGACTGTGAGAAATAGTCGCCTAGTGAGCCCTAACTAGAGTTAAAGTTGAGTGAGATCTCCAGCAAAGAGGGGTGACTTCCTGGGTTCCTGGGACTCAGGCACATGGCACTCCGGAGCTGACCACGCCCCTCCAGGCAGCGCCTCTCGGAGGCCATGACCCCTGGGGATGCTCCTCAGGCTGGAGGGCATCAGTGTGGCTCCTCCCGTAGCCGACCTCCTTCTGGGGGAGATACCGTGGTAACTGCGTGGCAGTCCTGCAGCCTGTTTTGTGGAAGTTAAGCCACACCCATCCCTCTGCACTGGTGTGACGTGTTGGGTTGAGCTGGGCTCATGGGTCCCACGCTGGGACCATGGCCTGAGACCAGGCCCGAGGGAGAGGTCTCCTGAGGCCAGCACCCCCATTCTGATGGGCATTTCAGAAGGTTCAGGAGAAGGCAGGGACCAGGCCCCAGAGGGGAGAGACATGGGAGTCCAGGGTGTTCTTTGGAAGGGGCTGTGCGTAGCTCCCGGCCTCTGCTGGCCTTGGATGGCCCCTCTGTGGGCCCTGTACCGGCGGGGTCCTGGGCACCCGCGGTCCATGGAGTCGGCGCCCTCCTTGGGACACTACTGCTTGTCCCAAGCGTGAGTCCAGAGCCCCTGGGGTCAGCACCTCACCTTAACCCTGCCGCCGTGGCCTGTGGGTGCTGGGTGTGGTGGCCCCTGCCCAGGGCTCCTCCGGGTTCCTGTCGCTGCCTCACCTCTGCCTCCGTCTCCTGCAGAAAGCCCTACCTCCATCTCCGTGGGCCCCAGCGCCTGCCGACGGCCTGCAGCCGCCTAAAGACCCTGCCACGCCACTCTCCCCGCAGCCGCCCAGTGAAGAACCAGCTACGTCCCCCGGGCCTGCTGAGCAGTCCCCAGAACCATGCACGCCCGAGGAGATGGGGCCTGGAGCCCCCACAGGGGAGCCCGGGAGCTCGGCCGAACACGAGGGCCCGGACCAGGCCCAGCTGCACCCCGTGGCCCAGCCCGGCACTGTGGCCTAGGGGAGGGGTGAGGTGCTCGCAGCCATGCTTCACACCAAGATGGTGGGGATGCCTGGCGCCTGCCGGAGACAGACAGACAGACGGACAGACAGACGCCTGCTCCCAGGACGGAGCCTGCGCCGGCCCTGCCCGCCCTGACATGGTGCTGATCCTCACCGAGCCCCGCGCTCCGCGCCCAGCCCCGCCCCGCTGCCCCGGCTGCACGCCTGCTGCTCCAAGCTCACCCGGCTGCCACTAGCCTTCTGTGGGTCCGTCCTCCTCGCCGCGGCCCGTCCTGTCTGCAGACCCTCAGGCGCCGTCTGCATGAGGGAGCAGGCTGCCCAGGCCGCACTGGTGCTCACCGGCTGCCTCTCCCTTCTGGTGACCTTCCTCACGGTGTCCAGTTCTCCGGGCTGAAGAGCGGCTTTCTGCCTCTGGAAGGTGTCGCTTTTCCCTCCTGAGCAGGCTGCAGACCCTGGGAGGTTTGGATGCCGCCTCCCAGCCTAGGACACCAGGTGGTGGCCGGGCGGTGCCTGGACCCTGACACTGGGCGGAGGCAGGCCCGTGGGGCAGGATTTCAGCCGTGAATGAGGCTGGCCTCACGTGAGTGGACAAGCTGCTCTCCTGGCCACGGCCCCGCCACCCTCAGTCAGTCCCGAGGTGCCTGGCCGCGCTGCACACTCCTCCCCGTCTCAGTAAAGGGTCTGACTCCTACACGTCCTGCCAGTGTTGCCTGGTGGGGCGGCAGTCTCTCAGACCGCCCTTCTGACAAGGAGGGTGGGCGCCAGGCAGGCCGGGTCAGGCCCTTGGGGGTCCCTGGAGCTGAGGGAGGGAGGGACTGGGCGTGGGAGGCTGCAGCAGCTCCTGCACCCGACCTCGCTTCCTGTGTGGGCCCCGTGTGGCTTCCGCCGAGAGGGCTTGGGCCTCAGCTCTCCCTGTGGCGAGGGCATTGGTGCGTGAGTTCTTAACCCTCTGGACCCCGCGGCTAGGAGCTTCTGGAACCTACGAGGACATCCTGCCACTGGCGTGGTCTGCTCACCAACCCTGCGGGTTCTTCCGACCCCGTGGCAGAGATGTCCGCGCTGGAACTGACCGAGGCGTGGCCCCGGCCTCCTCCCATCGCTGCACGTGGTCACTTCCAAAGCAATGGAGCCGCATGGGGTCCCGCCGCGCCAGGACCCCAGCCCCGCCTGCCCCCTGCCCCGTCCACGCAGCCTGCAGACTCGAGCCCGCAAATCTGTCTCTGTTGATGTCAAGTCAAGCGCCCCCAGCTGCACACGGGACTGCTGAGTGCAGCGCTGTCTGACGGGTCTGTTTCAGACAGAGGTGGCAGGGGCGAGCCCCGATCCCTTCCAAAAAATACCAGCAGGAGACTCGCAGGCACCTTTGAGCCGCGTCCCGGGGGTTAGTGGCGCCTTCCCTGAAGCCATTTTGTACATGGGGATGGGGTGGAGACTTCTCTTTTCTGGTGTTGGACCTTTGACCAGTGTGGAGGGGTCAGAGGTGGCAGTCCTGTCTTCGTCTCCGTTTGTCTGTTTGGCCTTGCTGCCGTTCAGTCTGATCATTAAACTCGGCTTTTGATACACATGGCCCGGCCTCTGCTTCTGCGGTGCACAGCCTGTAGCATCTGCTCCGTGCCGGTCCTGGTGAATGGAACTGAGAACAGGCAGGGTGCCGGGCTGTCCTGCAGAGGATGGATGGGAGCTGCCCCCGCAGGGCCAGCCAGCACCGTGAGGTGCCCAGCGTCACTCCCACGGGCTCTGCGGGCCGTGGTCCCTGTCACGCTTCTCGCTCAGCCGCTGTTGGCTGGAAAGCATCACAAACCACGTGTAACATGGGCCAAAAGACCTTTCAGAAAACTTGAGATGGGGTCTTGGAATGTTGCCGAGGCTGGTCTCGAACTACTGAGCTCAGGCGGTCCTCCCACCTCGGCCCCCCAAAGCACTGCAGTTATAGGCATGAGCCACCACACCCGGCCCCCAAATAACTCATCTTGCCAAACCTGACATTGGAATTGTAGAGCATTCTCACATCCCAGAAGAGTTTGTTACTCCTCTCTCTTTACAAATGCGAAGACCTGTCTCAGCTGCTTTGGGACGAGGTTTCGTTTCCATCTGCTGCTGGCCGGCCCCGGGCCTGTGGGGAGCTGGGTGATGGACGCAAGTTTGTGTGCGCGCCGAGGGGCCAGTGCATCCCGAGCATGTGCCAGGTGTCAGGGACTGTGTGTGTCGTTCCAGTCTCACCAAGTTCCCTGTCACATTAGAGAAGGTGAGTCCCAGGCCGGGCACAGTGGCTCACGCCTGTAACCCCAGCACTTTGGGAGGCTGAGGCGGGAGGACTGCTTGGGTCTGGGAGTTCAAGACCAGCCTGGGCAACATAACAAGACCCCATCTCTACAAAAATTAGCTGGGTGTGGTGGTACACGCTGCAGTCCCAGCTGTTCAGGAGGCTGGGGTGGGAGAATCGCTTGAGCCCAGGAGGTCAAGGCTGCGGTGAGCTGTGATCGCACCACTGCACTCCAGCCTGGGCGACAGAGCGAGACCCTGTCTCAAACAAGAGAAGACCAAATCCAGCAAGCCTCTGAGGCCGTGTGGCTCTAAGGGACCAGAGACATGGCTTCCTGCAGGCCCTGAGCCAAACCCCGACTGCCTGACTGTGTGATGCCTTTGGCCTTAGTGTGAAATGGGGTGAGGATACAGCGGGAGATTGGTGCTCCGGCCTCCCCACACACGGCAAAGCTGAGTTCAGACCCACTGGGGAAGGGACGGCATCATCACGGAAAGAAAGCGGGTTCCAGAATACTTGAAGTCACAGTTGTGTTTCGTTTTTTTTGTTGTTTTGTTTTCTGAGGCAGAGTCTTACTCTGTCGCCCAGGCTGGAGTGCAGTGGTGCCATCTCGGCTCACTGCAACCTCCACCTCCTGGGTTCCTGTGATTCTCCTGCCTCAGCCTCCTGAGTAACTGGGACAACAGGTGGGCACCACTACACCCGGCTAATTTTTGGATTTTTCGTAGAGATGGGGTTTTACCGTGTTGGCCGGGATGGTCTTGATCTCCCGACTTCATGATTTGCCCACCTCGGCCTCCCCAAATGCTGGGATTACAGGCATGAGCCACCACGATGGCCTTTGCAGGGGGGAGTCGCTGCTCAGAGGCCCCTCGGCGATGGCTGTGAGCACTCCTCCCCTGGGTGCTGCTAGTGGTGATTTGTCCTGTCCAGGAAAGGAAAAACTTGCTGTGTGATTAGCTGCAGTGGACTCGAGCCCCGGGGCTGAAGGTTACAGTCAGGACTCAGCGCAAGGAGCCCTGGGCTCACACCACATCCACCTGTGACCGCCTGCGGCCGTGGGCAAGTCACTCTGCCTCCAACTCCTGTCTTTTGGAAAGTGGGTTAGTAATGGACGCACCGCAAGGCACAGCGGCCAGGATGCCACCACATCAACCATCTGGTAGGACGCCTAGAAGCAGTCATTACTTTTGTGTTAGTGATACACTTGGTTCAGGAAGATGGGCTCGTGGTGGACCCAGCAGGTGCCGGAGCCCGGGGGTGTGTGCGCGCCTTGACTGCCCAGGTCACTCGGCCCGGGGATGTCAGGGAGAGGTGGAGCTGGGGAAGTGACAGCAGGCTGCTGGCTGGCACTGGGGAGAAGATTTTGTTTCTTTTCGTGGGGAGCACACCTCTGTCTTGCAGTTTGTTACAAAGTGGAACAATATGGTAATAACAGTGATTTTCTTTCACTAAGCTGACCATAGCTTCCACATTTTTCATCCACCCACCTATCCATTTATCCAACCAGCCATCCATCCATCTATCCATCCACTCATTTATCCAACCATCTGCCCACACACCCACCCACCCATTTATTCATCTTTTCATCCACTCATCCATCCACCCATTTATCCAGCTTTCCATCCACCCATTCATCTATCCACCCACTCATCCATTTATCTACCCATCCATCCATTCATCTCTCCATCCACCCATCCACATACTCATCCATCCAACCCACCTAGTTATCCAATCATCCATCCACTTACCCACACATCCATCCACCTATCCACACACCACCCTTCTGTCCACCTACCCATCCACCCATCCATCCATTGATCCACCATCCATTTATCCATCCATTCACCCATCCACACACATCCATCCCTCCATCCATCCATCTACACACCCATCCATCCATCCATCATTTATCCAACTGTCCATCTACACATCCATCCATCCATCCATCCATCCACCCACCCACTTATCCAACCATCCATCCACTCACCCACCCCCATCCCCCCAGCCAGCCATCCACCAATCCACATACCACCTATCCACATACTCATTCATCCATCTACCCATCCATCCATCCACTTATCCATCCATTTGCCCATCCACTCACCCACCCACCCACCCATCCATTTATCCATCCATCCACCTATCTAGTCACCCACCCACCAATCCATCCATCTACCTGCCCATCTATGCATTCATTCATCCATCCACCCATCCTTCCATTTACCCATCAACTTACTCATCCATCCACCCATCTGTTTACCTACCCACCCATCTATCCACCCACCCATGCATTTACCCATCAACTTACCCATCCATCCACCCATCTATTTACCTACCCACCCATCCATCCATCTACCCACCTTCCACCCACCCATCCACTCATCCATTTACCCATCCATCCACTGATCTCATCCAGTCATCCATTCATCCACCCACTCACCCAGCCATCCATACACACACCCATCCATCCATCTATCCATTTATTCATCTATCCATCCATCCGTCCATCTATCAGTCCATCTGTCCGTCCATGCAACCATCCATCCATCCAACCATCCATCCACCCATCCAACCATCCATCTATCAGTCCAACTGTCTGTCCATCCAACCATCCATCCATCCAACCATCCATCCACCCATCCAACCATCCATCTATCAGTCCATCTGTCCGTCCATCCACCCACCCATCCACATACACTCATCCACCCACCAGTCTTCACTGCTGTGTGTCAGGTCCTCTACTAAGCACCCCCTCTGGCCCAGACAGAGAGCTGCTAGCTGCATGAGGAATTGGGACTCAGTGTTTGGGGCCAGTTGGGAGGGAAGTCATCAGAAAGTGAGAGGGTGGAGTTCTGGAAAGAGCCCACCAGTGGCCCTGAGGAAGAGAGGAGGGGGGTGCCCACGGGGTCACAGGCTCTTCTCCACATGGCTCAGAGCAGGTTAGAACTGCCTCTTGGGAAGCACCCACAGCCTGCAGCCCGACGGAAGAGTGGGCAGGAGAATGCAGCAATGGGAGGTCCTGGGTGTGGAGCCCCAGCTTGCATCCCAGGAGCTGGGTGATTCTGGCTCTCAGAGCTGTAGCCACCTCCTCTGCCTAAAAGGAGGTGACAACTATGATGAGGCATCACAAGAACCTAGTTGAGTCCCACTGAGTGCCAGGCACACAGCACATACTCAACAAACTGGACCATTCTGCAGGCAGCTGGGGGAAATGTGCCCAGGTGCTGGATCCCCTGGGACTGCTCTCCCTCCAGCACCAGGCTTGGCTCCCCAGGGCTTGCAGCACTTCTCAAAAGCGAGTCACCACTTAAGGCATAAAGATGTTGCTGCCAGTGGTAGTAAAATGGGCTGGTCTCTAAAGGCAGTCCCAAAAAAATGTCCCCAAAGTCTCTTGAGA